TACAGTTTGGATATCTTATAAAGCTCCTCTATTAAAAGCCGTTTAGAAGATTTCGGTGCTTGGGCTTCGGATCCTTCGGTCATTGGATGACATGGGTAGTTGTACGGGGTAACCTATAGCTATGCTCTAGGAGGACAAAGCGTGCGCTACACCACCTGATCCTCGTCTGACCTGCGCTACACTCCAAAGCCCAACCTTGGGGGCTTCCGTTGGGCCGCTGGCTCATATAGACCCAGGCCGTACATGCCTTTCTTCACTGTGAACAGCAAGAGCTTGCCCGTTGAGCCAGGGAGCTAGGTCTGCGTGGCTTCGGCCCTGCATCTGCTAAATGATGAGGCCTGTAGAGCCCCTGCAAACCACGAGCCCAACTTATGAAAGCAGCAACGGCTCCTTTTCTGAGGATCCGCAGCTGTCGCCAGGTCGGGCTTGTTGAAAGTCACTAGCGATTGGACTGTGCAGAGGGCTGTTTATGCATCTGGAAGCAACAGGGTTACTTCCGCTGATGTGTAAAAGCATACTGAGAAACATCGTTCTGCCAGCCAGTACTGAATCTGGGCGGACTTTTGCAAACTCGACTCAAGGATAGACATACTTTGTGAGGATGACGCGAGCGTCAGAAAATAGTCTGAGGGATCGACATACTTTGTGACGAGGATACTCCTGGTCCGAGTCCGAGCAGTGCCGGGAATGGTTGAATGCTAGGCATCATAGGCAAAAGCCAAAGCCTCCCACTGTACTTCAACTCTGAAGGCCCGTTTTGTGCCAGTTATCGCTCTGGATGTTTACCGGAGTTCTTCAACGCTTGAACCTGCAACCGGGCATCCCCCAAGGCACCTGCGTACTTCAACGGTAGCATATCCTGGCGCCTAGAACAGCCCCACGTGCCCGCAACTATACTACGAAGAGACTTGCGACCCCTTGGAAGGTTCCATGTTACTTAGTGTAGAAGGAATGTAGTTCTCGAGGCTGGCGTGTGGCTTGGTGGACAGCTGGCGGCAGAGTCTGCGGCCGCGAGTTTGATGTAGAGGCCTAGAAAATTAGACGATTGTCTTAACATCCGCGACCCGAGCGAAAAGCGCTACGAACTTTTAGGCCTCTTAACTAGCTGTTGGTCCCGCCTCGCCGAAGCCTTCATCATGTATGCAATGCCGAAATTAAAGCTACAACAGCCGGTGCATATACTTAGAGATGGCTTTACGGCATGAGAACACAAACGAACACAGAGGATTTATCCACAGAGGCAGCTCTATTCCAGGCATCCTTCCAAGACCCGATTGAAGAGCACAGCTATTCCGGGCAGACATTCGGGGCGGTGTTCTACACTGGGATTTCCTCCAAGGGTCCACACTGGCGAGAGCTTTGACGGTCAGAACGACTTTCACTGATGTTCATATGTTGGGTATATATGAGCACCACTGGCACTCCCATTTATGGGAGCAGTATGGCCGACCAGCTTGCTCACTTCTGATATTCCGAGCGTTCTCGAGGTCGTCTTGAGGTGTGAGGCTGCGGGGTCCTCTGACGGTCTGCTCGGGGTGGCACGGAAATTCGCGCCAGCGGCTGTTAATGCTTCTTTCGCCCTTGCTCCTGGGGACGGCAGGGCGGGCATCCAATTTTTGTAAGTACGATGAAAATGGATCAAAGACTTGCGGAGCAGTTCACATTTTAGAAGTCTCTGTGTCTGGCCTCGGTGTATATCGGGACCTTGCAACTCTTTTCTGTATGATGCTCCGTACCCAAAGTCAAGCTCCTGAAGTTACATCGGGCACGGGGGTTCAAGAGCTTAGGACTCATAGTACTGTTTTGCCTCGATGTGCCGCCACAGTGTACTTTAGTTCTTGAAGCCTCTCGATACTTCAGAAAGCACCCGCTCGAGAAAAGTTTTCAATTTGACCCTAAGCAGTTCTGAAGCTAAACTGTGGCAGAGTTCAGGCTTGTTTGGCAACCCCAACCACAACTCCAATTGCGTAAACAGCCTTTAAACATGAACATGATGAAACTTCAGCATCATGCCAAGACACACGTTACTGACATGCACGCTTCAACTGTACAGCACAGGGCATCTCTGAACTAATTCAGCTGCTTGCGCGTGCCTTCCTCCGAAGCTCTTCATCACAGTCCACATTGGCCATAGACAGTTGTGCAGATATATATATATATATATTATTATATATATATATTATTATATATATATATATATATATTATATATTATATAGAGAGAGAGAGAGAGAGAGAGAGAGAGAGAGAGAGAGAGAGAGAGAGAGAGAGAGAGAGAGAGAGAGAGAGAGAGAGAGAGAGAGAGAGAGAGAGAGAGAGAGAGAGAGAGAGAGAGAGAGAGAGAGAGAGAGAGAGAGACAGAGAGACAGAGAGAGCGAGAGAGCGAGAGAGCGAGAGAGCGAGAGGGGGGCCCTAGTGGCCGAGGGGTCTCAACAGCCCCTCATGCCCGGCGGAAGAAGAGAGAGAGAGAGAGAGAGAGAGAGAGAGAGAGAGAGAGAGAGAGAGGGTGAGAGAGAAAGAGATATGATGCTGTGCTTGCAGCTAGGTTTCCGAGCTCTCGGTTTCTCAGACGGGTAGAATTCAGCAATCCCACACCACCCTTAAGCCGGAGTTTCGACGTGCTGCAGCCTGAATCAATTGGCTTTGGTGCGATGAAGTCGGAGCGTGGCGCATGCCGAGGAGACTGTACAGGCAGAGGGCTGGCAGCAGGATACACAACATGGCAGGTGGAAAAGTGTTGCAAGGGCTGTCGGCTGGGCAGTGCATCTCCTTGCGAAGAGAATATAGGAGCTGCGTAGCACGCCTTGGAAGGAGCCGGGGTTATCTGAACCCAGGGCCTTTCATCAAGTTCCGTGCAGTAGCCGATGATTCAGATGAGTTCTATATACATGATCGAGCACAGAACCCTACACACTTTTAGCCCATATTCCTAACTCACTCTCTGTGTCAACGAAATGCTTGCCTTGTCAAGGATGGCGCCATCCATGCGACTTTTTGGCTTCGCTGTTTGGGCCGAAGCCCCAGTGCCAGTATATGCACGAAGACTGCCGCTGTGTCTGTATGACATGTGGGTAAGAGCGGCCAGAGAGTTCTTGAGTGCCGTCTTCTTTGTGTTCCTGGTGATGGCAGCAGCGAGGAGCAGTCTAGTCGCTACAGTGTAGTGATAAGTAAAGGCACTGCAGCCAAGACCCCCCGAAGGCCCCCTCACGGTAGGTCCTATGCCCCTCAAAAAGCCTGAAACCAGCGAAGTCCCGTTTCGCTGGGCCCCGAAGTTATGGTTGAGCAGCTTGTCTGACAGTCTGAACGTGTGACCCTTGAGCCCTCAGCCTGTGTTCTGCATCCCTCCATGACGAATTTCGATGACGCCAATGGTCCTCTCCTGGTGGAGTGTTCCCTATCGCTTCTGAAGCCTGTAAAGATAAACTTGTCGGCAAAACCTTAAACGCACAACACCCTAACCCCTTTACATCCAGTCCTGTAGTAAACGCGATCGTCCTCAGCCCTGGTTCTAAACCACTTATAGGCCCTAGCCAGCTTAAGCCATCCAAAACGTCGCCGCAGTGGCTGAGGCCTGCTATCATGTAGCCGAAGGAGGTGCAGGGTTCGGGTTCAGGGTTTTACGTCTGGGGGCGGGTAGGGGGGAGTTTTGACATCTGTTTGTTTCGGCTATCCGAGATGGTTGCGGGATGCAAGTGTGCACTGCATATCAGACACTGGGGCGGCCAAGGCTTGGATAGCAAGGAGACGATTTTCAGACCTTATACGAACTTGCCTCCTTTGCAGTGTTGTAGTCTTGTAATGTTTCGTTTTCACACCTGGACATCAGCCCCTTCATTTTGCCGCTAATGTTAAGGATGGTTCAGCCCTTGCGACGGGCTGCTGCATGCGCCGATGCGCAGTGTGGCATAGTCGTAACTGTTCATGCTGCTTCCATAATATGGTAATTATGAGCTACACCGCTACACCAATGACCATCGATTTCTTTCCGCATATGAGTTGCTATCACATAGCAGACTATGTCTTCTCTTGTGCACGCCCTTAGATCCAAACCCGCGCCTGCTCCATCAGTGTTAGAGGTTCCAGTGGCAACCTCCGTAAGTTGCAGCAAGGACTGCGAATGCCCGGCACCTGTCTCCAGATATCTTGTTGTTCATTGGGCTTTGGAGAGCGGTCCAAGCCGCGTTAGAACAGGCCGAGCACAGCAGAAGGACGCGTGTATTGTACTTAGTATCGTGGGGGAGGGGCAGGCAGAGAGGGAGGGAGTTAGGGAGTGAGGGAGTGAGGGCAAGAGGAAGTGAGGGAGTACCGGAGTCAGGGAGGGAGGGAGCGAATGTGTTCGTGTGCATCACACGCTAACCAACCTATACCTGCCTCAGGAGGATTCAGAAGATGGTCATGTAGTTAATGTACCAAGGATATAACCCAGGATTTACCAATGGCGTCCCGGGATTTGTTTCACTTGCGCAGAAGTATACTCGCATCGTCGACTCTTCCTGCAGAATGTCTTTAATGGCTTTCAAAACCCTCGACCCCCAAGTGCCGCAGACCTTGAATGCGAAGAGCCTCCAAAATACAATCTGGCAAAGCCTGCAGGAACTGTGGACCAGCCAGGGGCCTTAGACTGCGGCACCATTTGTCTGTGGTTCAGAAGACGGTCATCGAAGTTCCATGGCTTCTATGGCAATCCAACTAGTGCACCTCTCATCATGCAAGGATTGAGCATCAAATTGAGCAAGGAATGGTCCTAAATCCTCATGACGGTGGCTGGTGTTGACATTCCTTGCATGCATTTGGCTCAGCCTTGCACTTCTTCAGAGCGAACGCTTGAGTAGTTCACCAAGAGCAGACTTTGTACGGAAACACGAGATATTGCAGCACGGGAGTTCGCGAGGCAGTGACGTGTTTTTATACGGTAGATGACGATGTCGTTCGATTTTCACGAATTTGGCTTGCCGGTTGTGGATTGTCTAGGCAGACTCGAAAACTCGAGAAAGCCGAGCCATGGCGAAAAAGAAGAACAAGTCCAGCAAGGCGAGGAACTTTCATCAGCGCACGGGCATCTTCAGATCTTAGCCACCTATGCTTTTTGTCCTTAAAGGGGTTAACAAGGGGTTTGCGACGGTGGAACAGTGTGGATCCTGGGTCCCGGCACCAGCTCTGCCAGGAGCCAGTGTGGCACCTGCAGCGGGATGTCGAGAACTCGTTGCTCTGGAAGCAGCCGCTTGCAGCAGTGTAGCAAGAGGGGCATCGTCTTGTAGATGCAATATAGTTGCTGGAGTCAGCTTCGCACAGAGAGGCGGCAGCTAAAGGTTTCGCGGTCTAAGGCTGACGGCTCTCCACGAACAGCTGGCGCAGCGCGACATGCAGCTGAGTCAGCCGGGAACCGAGACGCGGAAACAAGCCCAAGCAAAGATTCAAAGTTTGTGCTATCGGCAGTTGCAAACCGGGTGGGAGCTGCCAGCCCGTCATTGGTCATTCTGAAATTCACCCCCAAGCGCAAAAAGGAGCTTCGGCAGGGTGCTTCACGAGAGTATTTCACTGCTCCGTGAAGAGAGCCAAACCCCAAAGCCTGAAAATGATGCAGTCCTCGTCACTAAGCTTCATTCTCGCACTCTGGTCGGAGTAGGCTGAAGCCTTGACAGGCTTTCTATTTCAGGAACCATTGCAGCTGTGGTCTTAGGCTGATGGCTCTCCACGACCAGCTTCTGCAGAGCAATCGGCAGCTGACTTTGCTGGGAGCCGAGACGTGGGCACGGCTTAACCGCTGTGCGACCAGATGTTGCAGATCGGGTTTTAAGCATCCGAGCCGTGTCAGCCTGCCGACCATCACCTTAACGGCTAAGTGTAAGCATGTGAAACCTAAGCCCATAAGACCCCTGAAGCAGTCCGTCGGTCCCGCAGATCAGGCAGCAGAACCAGATCCTCTATCTGCAAGCACAGCCAGGGCCTGAAGATCAGAGAGACAGTGAGGGGGAGAAATCGGCTAGATGGGAGGGAGGGAAGGTCGGAGGGAGGGAGAGAGAGGACGTTCTGGCTCCACGATCTCTGCTTGGAGCATGGCGCAGGTTGCTCCATCGCTGCTTGCAGCGGGATGCGGACGATCAGGAACTAATCTCGAAGCTTGTGGGAAAGCTCCTCGAGTGCGAGTCTGCAGGCTCCAACAGATCCCCTGCGAGCCCAGTGCCACGACATGCTAGTTAGCAAGCAGCACAAACCCAGGTGCTGCGACGCGAAGTCGCAGGTGGCAGAACCATGTTCTGCCGAGGCCTGTAGAGCGAAATTAAGGGCCCCCTCCCGAGCACTTATCCTCAAGACTCTGGGAAGCATGAGTTTGCTCGCAGATGACTTCAGTGCTCAGAAAGTATCAGCCTGGCCGTTGGATCTATCGTGGGTCATCCTGGAATGTGGAACTCTGCACAATGGCAGACCCATTTTGAAAACGTTGTCGGAGACGGCTTGCATGATCGCAGGAGCCCCTGGAAGCCAAGGGCCGCGACGATGAATGGATATTCGTCGATGATGTGCCGCAGGTGGACTTTGGGCCTGTGGCTAGTTTCATGCCAGAGATACCGGGCATCCCGTCCAGATGGCACCAAGCAAGGTAGCCCCAGCTGAGCTTCGTATCAAGCCCAAGCGTGCGCTAGGGTGGGGGGGGGGGGGGGGGGTCGAAGATGCTGCTTCGTGACGGATTTATGAGCTACCCCGCAAAAGTGACTGGTCGTCCACCCCCCTGAGCCCAGCTTGCTGTTCGATGCAACCTGCAGCAAGCTGTGCATTGAATGCGAGCCTTTGGAATCAAGCTTTGGATCAAGATGAGTAATCATGGAACATCATGGAACTCTTCAAACCCTCATCCAAGACGGCCTGCAGAATGCAGGAGACAGTGACAACGGAGGGTGCACCTCCGTATTGTGGCACATCACGGAGCCTTGGGCAGCAATCTTCTTGTTTGACTCGTCCGTGGGTGCTTGCTGGTGATGCACCCTGCGTCTGCTGCCGAGGAGTGAGGAGTTTCTCCCGGACACCCCAAGCACCGCCAGTGGCAGCAGCGGCACTGGCTCTCCCGTGTCGGAGTCGGAGGTGGGCTTTGACGCAGGGTGCAGGTTCAGGTTGGCGGAAGGCTGGAGCTGCCCTCAGAGAGTGGCTCTGCGTCAGCATCTTGCACATTGTACATGCGTTTGCGTCGGTGGGCTTTTAACTCGCGGTTGCATGGAGCGTTTGATTGCGTTGCTAATACATGGTGACAGCGACTGGACCGAAACCTGCATCCTGCCGGGCGTGCTTCGTGTGTGCTGACCGGGTTACGGAAAAGCAGTGCTGAGGATGCCACTTCGCGACCGGTTTTGGAACCATGTTGCAAGGGGGGTATTTAAGAATCAGGTTGCTCATGTATGGTACAGCCTGCACCCCCCGTCCCCCCCACCCCCTTGCCGGTAGTCGTCTTGTTTGGCCTTGTTGGATATCATTTCACAACATCGGTCATCATGCACTTCTGCAGTCTTGCAATGCACGCCGCAACGAGTCTCGACACACTGATCCAAGACAGTCTCCGCGATTGCAGGCGTCCGTGGCCACGGCGAAGGCGCCTGCAACTCCCGCTGCGCTGTGGCTACGGCTGCCGGTTTGCCAAGACCAGCGCGGTGACCGCAGCTGCGACGTGCACCTCGCTTGCAGCGCCGATCCGTGGGGATGTGCCTTCGGTTCTGCGAGGAGTGGCAGCTGAGGCCCGAAGCCAGGCCAAGCCCTGGAAGCATCCACGCGCCCCGCGCCGCGAGGGGCCAGGAAGCGGGAGATGAGTCTCCTGCAGCGGAGGCGGGCTCCTTTGCAAGCTTCTTAGACTTCTTTCTCCGGGCAGCTAAGCTGGGCCCGCCCGGCGGTCTGCCAAAACAGTTGCAGTTGGAGTTGTTGGCAGCAGGCTGGGGATGGTTGGGCTACAGTGCACGCCACAACGAGTCAAGACACTGGCAGACTTGTCCACACCATGGTCGGAGGAGCCCATTGTGCTGGAGAGTGTGCCTCCACCTCCGGCTGCGCTGTGGTCGTGGCCGCCGAGCTGCCAAGACCAGCGTGACCAGAGTTGCGATGCGCGCCTCGCTTGCAGTGCTGATCCGTGGAAATGCGCGCCCCTCGGTTTTTGCTAGGAGGGGCGGGGCCGAGCCGAGGCCTGAAGCCAGGCCAAGCCCTGGCAGCATCCGCATGCCCCTCGGCGACGCGAGCGGGTACGAAGTGGGAGATGAGCCTCCCGTGTCAGAGGCGGGCTGCGAGGGCTTCTTAGATTTCTTGCTTTGGGCAGCCAAGCTGGGCCCGCCCTGGCGGTCTGCAAGAAAGATTTGTTGGCAGAAGGCTGGGGTTGGTCTCAAAGTGGAGCGGAAGACTTGCATGTCGTGTCGCCGAGCAGGATGCCCACGACGAAGGGCGTCAGCATGCTGGCGATGGGCAGGCTCGGGGCCTGGACGCCATAGTGGTTTCTGCCAGAAATTCTTGCAGAAGTCCCCTTCTCCTCAGCAGCACTTTCTGAATACTTTAAACTCTCAACACTGTGGGAGCATGAGTTTTCACTTGCACAGATACGTTCAAGACTTGGAATCTGAGTGCAATACCTGTGTATATATGTATATACCAATATGTGTGGAATAACTGTATGATATCATGATTATCAGATTATCACCCCGGCGCACTTAGCCCTACCAGCCCTACATCTGACAGCCAGAAAGCCACTGCCCAGAGCCCAATAAACCCTGTCATAATTGAAGTCAAAGCCCAGACCTATCCAATCCATAGCTCTTCTTCAGTCGAAAGAAACAGCCCTTTAACATGTTCTAACTGAAGACCGAAGAGGGTTTGACAAGCACCCGCTTAAGACTCTTGAGTTCTTTTTGATCGAGAAGAAGTCCTTCTAACCCCAAGGCCAGCATGGGATGTTGGGCACAACCGGAACCTCAAACAACCTTTAACTCAGACACTACAGAGAAGGATGCTTTTGTACAGACCCCTCAGGTCAGAAGCCAAATAATCTTCACGAGGTCGGGGAACAGCTGACAGCCGCGGCCGTGGCTGCGGCGCCCGTGCCGCAGCCGTCCGCTCCAGCATCGGAGGTACTGCACACATCCGAGGCAAGGTTGGGATTCATTCCCTCAGGGGTGTAATACGTGTTCTGTAAGAACTTATAGGGGCATGTCTAGCTACATTTAAGATTTGTTCTGTAAGGGTTCGGTAAGGCTTCTATGAGGCCTTACTAGGAGCTGTATGAAGGTTGGAGTGCGGCTTTAGGACACCTGAGAGTTTGTAGTTACGTTTCATGTTTGAAGGTCTAGTGCTACATAGTCACATAGTTCTTCAATAATCAGTACCTGGAGCTCCAATGTGACAGCCTAATTGTTGCGCAGCAAGTTCGCGTCGGACTTCAGATCTAAAGTCCAGGACTCAGAATTCAAGGTCATGTGGGAGTTTCCGAAAATAGGGGGCCCTAATAGAGTACCCTAGATAGTAGGATCCTTATTATAAGGCCCCCAAAACAAGGAACCCTAATTTTCGGAAACTCCCATATTTAGAGTTTACAAGACTGTTAGTATGGAGTATGGGGCTGAGGTTCCAGATTGCGGGGTAGGTTTAGGACTGAAGTGAAGATTTTCCAGTTGAGGTCTCGTTGTTCAGGGTCTCGGGTATACAGTTTAGGTTTTGGGATGTGGGTGCAGGAGTAGGCTGTAGAACTTAAACTGACTATGTAAAGGAGCCTTGCCTGCCTTGTGCGAGTGTGAGTGTCGAAGCTGGCCCCTAGCACAGGGTGCTTTATCGTTTCAACCATGTCCGGCGGTATACATATTCTCTCCTAATGACATAGAAACTAGAACGGGGTTTCCGTCCAGAGTTCAGCTCTTCAAGTTCAGGATCTGGAGTTTGGTCGGGGCTTCCTCAGGTTGCTTTGCGTAGGACTTGGAACTGCGAATGATGATGATCATCTGCAACTACAAGCCTGTCTCGGGTTTTGCTGACGAGGATTTAGTGGGAACACGTCTTCTGCTACATGTTGCGGGAGTCGGGTACCCGTGACAAGCCTTGAATCCAACGGTCCAGCAGCTGTGCTTGAGAACATTCAAGCGTGTACGGCTTGCGTCCGCTCGCAAGCCTTTCGGTATGGGTCAAACTGACATACTTGGGGACTTTCATTCTGATGGATTTTATGTGTTGGGTCTCTGTAGTGGAGCTTCGACTTCTTTGGGCTTGGGTAGTAATTAAAGGAACAAGTACGTGTAATGCTGGACTGTAGGAATGCGCGGCCTGTGTCACGACCCTTGTGAGAAAACACAGCACGTCAAGAGTTATCACAGCGAAGTACTTGTAGTAGAATAGGCCAAAGCTGTGTTCCCATGAGATCCACCCCCCCCAAAGTTTGTTTGACCACGAGGCAGAGGCTCCTGTGTCGAGAGTCGAGATCGTTCCTCACGTAGTCGAAGCGAGAGCTTGAAACTCTTAAGGCTCCCACCTCTGGTCTTTAGAGGTCTAGTGTGAGCTTCTTCGTTACTTCTTTCTGACTATTGCCGACTGTTCCTCATGAATGAAGCTTGGCCATCGCATTTTGTTAGTAGAATCTCAAAAGGTTGGCCATCACTTCCTTCGAAAGTTCGCGGTCCGCAGAAAATATCGGCACAGGTTGGCGATCTCAACGATGCCGCAGCAGCTGCACATGCCGAAGCGGCACCTTCCACCGCTGTGATGGAGACAGTCATCTCCCAGGCACGTCTGGGAATGAGCATCGCATGGCGTGATACAGCCGCTGAGGGAACTTGAACATGTTTGGTGTGCATACTTGGCCTATAAAATGGAAGACAGAAAACTACGAGGAGTCCATGTGTGACCGGGTTAGGAATGCAGTTGTCACTTTATAGCGATTGCTAGGAAGGAAAGCCCAAGAGTAGGAGTTGAAGATGCCTTCGCAGTAGCCTTATAGAGGCTCTAACTCGAAGTTCGCAGGCAGGTGGAGTTGGAGTGTAGTGATCTGGGGTGATCTGGGTCTGTGACGTGCTTGAACCTTCCAATTGAGGCTTTGGGCCGGGAGGATGCCGACATTTCCACCCTGGAACTGTTGATCACTGCGGCGGAGTCTGTGCCACCCGCCTTGGCACCATTGCAGTGGCCATGGCCAGTGTATCGTCTTGCCGAGCCTCAGGCCAAACCTCTTGCCGTACCTGAGCGCGGCTTGGCCAGTAGAAGGGCTGCTGACAAGACGTTGCATGGACACTTCTGATTAAGATTCGCTCTGCAGCACAGGTGCAGGAGCTACTGAACTGGCGCCTGCTTTCGCGATGCACCAGCAACCACGAGGCCTGCAGTTTACTGCCTTCCTCCGCTTGCTTCGTTGGCCTCTGCTTGAAGACTTTTGCATGTGTTGCTATACCAGGCCTTGATAGCACACGTGGCCGAGATGGGCAGCATGCGCAGGCTCGGAAGGGTCCTGACACATTGAATTGCACGAACCGAGTGAATCCGCCCCGTCGACACCATCTCTTTGCAAGCTGCATGCAGTCATACCATGATTCACTGGAGCGGCGAGCTGCTCTTTCTTTTCAAGAACAGCGTGACGGATGAAGCATGTCTGTGCAGGCCAGAGACAATGGTGACGTTTATGCGGAAAGACTCCGAGATCAGACGCAACCCGGATACACCCCTCGCAGCAGCCTTTGCGGGGGATGCTGCGCAGCAGAAACTCTACCAGTGCCTCCTGACTTGTTGAGCATGATTCGCAACGAGCAGCCAGTTTTTATGGCAGGGCATTTTTGGTTGGCCACGCCAACTTAAACAGAAATTGCCTCATTCTGAGGTTGGCGGTGGTGCGCGGCCCTGGCATACGAAAGGGAAAGCAAAACTACTTTCCCCGAAAGCCACGTTCACCGGATCGTCGTCCGAAACTTGAGGTGCTTGCTGCTGCACAGTAGGAGCGAGGATGAGGACATCGCTGATCGGGCAGGCATTGCGCTTTCGGGATGCGCTGAGGAGGGGCTGCCTTTTGTACGATCATACCTTGCAGAGGCAACTCTGGCCCGGCTGCCAGAAATAATCCGATCGTCGACCCATGCACTCGAGAGAAAGTGGTGCATACATCGGCTGGTGAGGTCCTTGGAGACGCTGAGTGTGCAGCAGTGCCAGCAATTCCTGGCCCTTCTCGTACGAATTCTGCGGGAGAATCCTTACGCCGCCAGATTTTGGGTACTTTGGGGCTTACAGAACCTCTGGGAGAAGCTCTGGCAGGTTGATGACGATCCCAGGAGAACCTACGAAAGAGAGTACCGCCTGCTTCGGAGTATGGCGAGGACCGAAGATCCAGAGCTCCAAACGGGGCTGCGGTTTCTGGAGGCTACCCCAAATCCCCCCGCGAGTGAGTGGCCCTGGTGGGACAAGGACCGGCGGAAGCGAAGGTGGCTCCGACAACAGTGGAGAGGTTGAATATGATCAGTGAGGATCTCCCTTGTCGGCAGAGTGCGAAAGCCAGCACACAGACGTGTTGTCCAGTCGGTCCACTTTCTGTTCAACGTTGCTTCGGTGGCCTCACCGACCCGGTGCAGGAGTTACCCCATGTCAGTTCAACAACCTGAACGGGTAGGCTGCTGCGTCAAGCGGCTTGTGGCAGCATTGCGCTCGCGGAACAAGTTTCAGTGCCAGAAGTTGACGCCTTTTCTGGTCACACTGCCGATGGACAATCACTCGCCAAAAAGCCAGTGTTTCGGGACCGAAGATGCTTTGGCCTACTGATAGCAGCATCATGAACAGCAACCTCCTCCTGCCCCTCCTCGTCATCCGGAGCATCTTTGCCCCTGTAACCTCATGACTTACAATCATTTCTACTCCTGAGCTCGTCATCGTCGTCATGCAACCCTAGGCCGGCAATTGCTGCGTCAGCCACCAACAGCCGTCACGAGAGGAACGTCCTGAACACTCATGAGGTGCGAGCTTCGTGCTGTGCGGATTCTGCCGACGCCCTCGCTGAGCGATTACGACAGGCTAGGCCTGTATATGTGTATTTCCTACTGGGTTATAGTTGAAGGGGAGGTCACATGTCTGCAGGACCCCCAGCCCAAGAAGCACTTAGAACATAGATATAGACTCAGACTTAACAGCAACGCGCTCTCAGACAGCCGGGTTTGCCTGCTCAGGGTTAGGCCACTATAAGAGTTTGTTCCCACGATTGTAGGCTAATGTACTGCTTCATGTCGGTCGCCGCAATGCTAGTGATTCTTGTGCATACAATGTGATACGCTGTTCGTCTCGTTTCTTGGAGTCAGCTTCCCGAATGACAACCACTTGACATGTAGTATATGCGTACGACCCAAGATGGGCAATGTCACGACATGTGACGAGAAGCTTCCTGGTTTCACCCGAAAAGACGCGACCTTGGGGCCTTTCGACCAGGTGCTTGCGGCAGAAGATGTCAACGAACACCACGCACGTCTGATGCCTACATCGGATCGCCGGGGCTTGGAGCCCCCGAGTTTGGGCTGCTGACAACTTCGCACTTATTGCTTATAAGATTTGACCTACAGGCCCTACCTAATTTGTGGCGATGCAGACTCATGTCAACGGCACTTGCACTACCCCACGAAGGATGCAGAACTGGAAGCTAGCATGCAGTTTCCTTTTCCTGTCATCAAGCCTCGAGGACTGGGGCATTCCCGCTGCAGAACTGGATGCATGGCTCGACTGTTGGCCGGATGCTTAAGAATCATGCCTTGGAAGACCGGTTCCTGGTCACGCATAGCATCGCAGGGAGAAGCAGGACATCTGAGTTTCGTGGTGCGTGCGTCCGTCTGTCTGTCGGCCTGTCTGCTTGTCTGTTTGTCTGGCTGTCTTCCTTTGTGTCTGTTTGTCCGTCAGTCCGTCTGTCTGTCTGTTTGTCTGTCTGAGAGCTTTTGAGAACCTGTTTGTGCGTGTGTGGCTCTCTGCGTGTGTGTTTGTCTGTCTGTCTGTCTGTGGGACTTGGTGTTTGAAGGCCTAGAAAGTGCAAAGTCTTTTAAAGACTTGGGTGCTGTTCCTTAGCCCAGGTGCGACGGGAACATGACCGAGGCACATCTTCCGTTCACTTGCATCCAAGCCTGGGTAGGTATCTCAAGCTGTTGCTGTGATACCTTCTGCTTTGATGTGATAGATGCTGAATACTGCATGGAAGTGCCTTGCCATCGGCTTGCATTGACGTCTGTCATGCAGCCCTTCAGTTCATGTCGTGCTGCGACGTCGGATTTCTGCTCTTGACTTGTCCGTTCTCTGCACAGGCCATCAACGACATCCAGTGCTGCTCGCACCGCAGCTTTCGACAATGGTGCACCGTGGCCCGGGGCTTGGCCTAGGATCATAATCAAGAGCAGCTGCTTAACGAAGAACCCAAAGCTCGAAGCCTAAAACTGTGACCCAGGGTGTGCAGCCTAGGTATAAAACAAGGGAACCCCAGGTGTAGTTGCAGGGCTTTGGCAGTTCATGGTGTTTGTTTCTTTTAATTGGATTCAGGGTGTGGGGCTTAGGCCTTTTGGTTTTTCGTGCTGCGTGGCGCCACCCAGAAGGCTAAGAAGCTTTGTCGGACGCTGTCGCATGATAGTCGGGCTAGATCACACCTTCGAAACCCTTCTAAAACAACCCGAACACAGCTGTGTACAGGGAGATCGACGGGTGCAGCAAATGGAGAAACGTAAAGGGCGGATCCTTGTGTTATGCCAGTATGAACTATGACATCTTCCGCTCGCATGAACTACCCTGTTCAGGTTTCGATTAGGGTGCCGGCAAGTAGGGCGCCGTGCTATTTTGCATTCTTCCCAGTATAGGAAGGAGACTGGTGAGGTTTTAGCACGATATTCGGCAATTCAGGGTTGTAGCGCCTGCCGGAGACTGTTGTACGTGGACGACCTCACTCAGGTTGTATCAGTGCTGCAGTGATCATCATTATCTTTCCATCATCGCCATGACCATGTTGTTGCGCAGTATGTTGTGCAATGAGACACAATCGCTGCAATTGCCAGTGTTTGGCGTCTGCTCGCACAAGGAATCAAAGCTTGTGACAGTGCGACTTATGCAAGAAACGTCAAACATCCTGTGGCAGTATGTTGCGTAAAGTGGCGAAGCTCTGTAAACACTAATGCTTCTGCAGTACAGTGGCGAAAATGCAGCGAATACCATTGTTTCTTGGGCATGGTCGCTTTTAGAACGGACGTCACCTCCCCCGCACGCACCCAGCCCCGCACCCGCCACCCCATGGAATCATCCGACTCTTATGTAACATGGCGCCCTATATGTTCCCGCTTCGCAGCAAAAATCTGAGGTTATAATGTTGGACTAGCTTTTGCGCTGTGCGGATTTGTTTTGTTTGCTTTCTCCCTGCTTCAATTCTCAATTTTCTGGACGATATCACGAGAAGAGACCTGAGCCTTGATCTGCAAGGCATTTCCGAAAGCCCACTAAGCCCTGCTACTTAAGCTGACCGAATCCAACCCACCCCCACGCCCCCGCGCCCCAGACCCATGACCCTCCAAAACCCTTCGCTTAAGCACATCGAAGCCCCTCCAAGCCATCGCCTCGTCTAGCCTCTCCTAGGATACCCCAAGCCCCCCCCACTGGTAAAGCACCTAGACCGTAACCGAACCCAAGCCATACTTTGGTACCACTCTACAGAAAAAGGTGGACTTTGTTTCGGGGGCGGGAATTAGGGTTCCGCACCTCGCCAGGACTGCGCGCCAGACTGCAGCAGCAACCTTGCAACTGAGTGCATACAGGAACGGCACCAGAGTAGGGCCTTACAGCTGAAATCTGGGATTCCCACCTGGCCGACCGTACTACCCACCCATGGTGTAGAATTCCAGAAAAGTGGTTCAACCGTCTTTAGGTGGTGTCAGTGTCAGGGTCGCCGCAGTTGTCACCAAGACATGGATGATTTCCGAAAGATTCTGCAGATGACTGAAGCCCTCTGCATCTCTCGGGGCATGCAACTATGATCGACGTGTCAAGCTGCTAAGCCGAATCCTTGCCCAATTATATTCAATTTAGAAGGCTCGGATAGATGGTGAGCATCGGATTAAGCAGGCATACGCAAGACGATATGGATCAGATGATCGAACATGGAGGGGTCTTGGGAGTTCGGCATATTCAGGTTCTCGCTTCATGTCGACAAGGCCTGTTCAATCAGACTCGGGCATCGGCTCCAATCTCACACAAAGCTGTAGACTTCTTTAGCCGAGGACTTCCCGAAGCGTTCGCAAGGAAGCCCCGAGCATGTCGAAGCCAGGAGTGCCCGGCCATGTGCTTCGAGGCCGGCGGAGCTAGGAGTTGGCTACTTGCGGCTTCGGGCTTCAATGGCATTTGGGGTGTGGAGGTTTACCCCTGGAGCCAGCTTTTGGGATGCTCGGCCTGCAGAGTCTGAACGGGAGACACCGTTTCTTGAGGGGTGTCTCAAGCAGCGGGCGACTGGAGTCATCCGGGACAGCCGAAATGACATGGGACGGCTTGATATGTGCCTGGCATATGTCGGCACGGTCTGATGCTTGAGGGGCGGCTCACTGTTTCATGAGCGGCATGAAGGGCTGGACCTCATGCGCTGCCTGGCGCTGCTAGACCCTCTGGAAGCAACGGCAGAGAGGGGGAGCTTGCCTTGTAGATGGTGGGGCAGAGACAAAATCGAAGGGTTTGGAGTTGAACTCCGAGTTCGACTCCAAAATCGCGAGTTCCGGAGTGGAGTTGAACTGGAAGTTGAACTCTAAGTTCGAACCTGGGGTTCGGAGGGAACTTCGATGCTCGAACCCTGGGTTCAAGGGCCCGAACTCTGGGTTCGGAGTTCCAGAACTCCACAACTCCAGGTTCGGAACTCTAAGTTCCAAACCCAGGGTTCAAACACCTCCCCAAAACCTATGTAGACATCAACAGCCCGAGCAGCTCTAGCAGACTCTCACGAAAAGATCGCAGTGCCTCGGCAACCTCCTCGGCGCGGCGTTGGATGCGGGAGGCCTGGTCCTCTGCAAAGTCTCCGACTTGGGAGCCCTGGCTACCTCCCAAGTCGGAGACTTTGCAGAGGACCAGGCCTCCCGCATCCAACGCCGCGCCGAGGAGGTTGCCGAGGCACTGCGATCTTTTCGTGAGAGTCTGCTAGAGCTGCTCTGGCTGTTGATGTTGGATTGCAGCTCGCCACTTCGGGGTGTACGATGAGGCTTCGGGGGTATAGCAGGATTCGAGGTTCCAGCTTGCTGCAGGCTTTCGATAGCTTGAGCTTCGACTAGAGGGTTTTTGGTGTGTTTTCGGTTGGTGATGGCATGTACTTTTTGGAAGAAGACTTTGTTCATCACTGCGCCAGGCACAAGAGTACATCGTAGACAGAAATCTGTGCACGCGCCCCGCGCTTAGCTCTCACCGATCCAGCGGAGAAGGGGTGTTCAGAAAACTGTACGGCTATTCCTTGAAATCCACGCCCATATACA